TTGTATATCATTGAGATTATTAAAAAATTGATATCTGAATTAAAATCATGATACTAATAAAAAAACATGATAAGATATAAAAGACGTATACCCATTCCTCGTAATCTTTCTTCAAATATTGGTGTAATGATGCCATCTTTTGTTGGTCCAACGTTCATTAGTAAATTTCCACCGCAGCTTACAGTAATTACTAACTCCTTCACTAATCCCGCTAATGTATAATATTCGGATAAAACAGCGTTTCTGCGGTATCCCCAGGATTTTTTATCAATAGTCATGCAGTTTTCCCACTTGTGTGGGAGAAGTACACCTAGAAAACAAAGTTTTGTTAATAGCAATTTAATCAGTTATTGATATATATTAATTCCTATTAATTTGATAATTATAATTATACTTACCCAGGAAAAAATGAAGATTTCATTATATACGTGTGGATCAAATTAGGTCAAATAAGATCAAATTGTATCTGATGAGATTTAGTTTTTAGATATAATCAGATCTTCAGAAATCTAGCTTGGGGCTTCACATGATTGATGTTATATCCATTAAGATTTAAATAGATAATCTGCGATATAAATAAAATGTTTTATTGAATATAAAGAAAGCATATTGTAGATCTATGAGAATATATTGATATATATGAATATTTAACTTTATACAATGAAACAATGTAATAGATATTAGACCTACAGAGATATAATAATATTAAAGAAGATATATATATGTACAGGCATGTAATCTGATAAAAATTGGCGTACATATCTACAGAGATCTACAGAGATATAATAATATAGATCAAAATAGATCTACAATCTTGGCCAAAGGTATAAGGCAGTAAGGCACAATTGCAATTTTGTCGCATTTTTAAAGTTAAGTATCTTGACGAAAAAAAATCTCAGAGGTTTTCAACCACGCATTTTAAAGCTTAAAAATATATTATATCTAATGAGATAAATGTTTATGTATTAAGATATAAATAGATCAAAGTATCTACATCGATCTACTTTGATCAGGTCAAAATGAAGATCTCTTAAGATCTCTTTTTAGATCTAATGAGATCTACATATATATAGTGAAATTTTCTTCATTTTTTCCCGGGTAATTATAGAAAAGAGGAAGAATATGATAATAAATTACCAGGATTAAAACGATCAGCACATGTATAGAAACCACCATGGTGGCATGCTGTATTAATGCCCCATCTATCATTCACCACTACTGTATCTCTCACAGGACTTTCATTGTATAGCCAGGCTAAAAATTCCTTTGATTTCCAATAAGAATCTGTTGTTTCTCCTTCTCCATCTGACCAAACTATATCTGGCTTGTATGTTTCTATTAACTCATGTAATTCTGGTATTACCTTCTGAGTTACAAATTTATCTGTTGTAAAATTGTTACTTTTGTCTGCTATGTAGAGAGGATTATACCATTCAAACAAGGAATGATACAAGCCAAACTTTATGTCTGTCTTATGAATAGCTTCTGCCAGTTCACCTATTTCATAGAAAAAAAAAGGAATATTTACAAGAATCATTATATTTATTGCAAAATCTTATTATTAAGTATATAATATCTTTATCTTTATTACCAACGAGATCCTTTTGAGGCCCTACATCCATAGAGTTCCAACTGTATGAATACTTTGACGGCCACAGTGTATATCCTTCATGATGTTTGCTTGTCAATACAATATACTTTGCACCTGATGCTTGGAATAACTCTGTCCAGTCGGAAGCATTAAAGAATTCAGCAGTGAAATCTCGTGCAAAGTCTTGATAGGTGAAATTTGGAGGATATCTTTGTTTCATAAAGTCGATTACAGTCTTCAATCCTCCTGCAATATTATTTATAATTATAAGATATCACATTAATCTTCATATTTTTTTATTATAGAAATAGAGTATATGGGTGCAAAAGACACAGATAACATGGTGTAACGTAGTGAATTATAGTTTCTGTCGTTTGTCTTTGTTGTTTGTCAATGTTAAACAAAGATAAAATGATCACCGTGTTATAACACTGTGTCTCTTGCTGGAAACCACCATATCGTATATTCAACCTTTCCAATAACTCCAAAACCATTCAGATTTAAAACTGGGTACACTGAATACACCCCAGTGAATAAAGATTCCAAACTTTGCCTCATCGTACCAGGATGGTAGCGGTCGACTGTCTAGACTAGACCACGTTGGAACATACTTTGCTTTTGTTGAAAATGGTACAAAATCCTCATCTGTTTTCGTTATCACATTAATATACGCCTCTGACAATGATGCACAGAAGATCAAAACGACGTACGAAATATGTACAAGCAGCATCATGTTAGGAAACTTGTAATGAAAGCTAACAATGATATTGTTGGACGACCCTTTTATTTCTATCGACTGCATTAAACATCATCGACATTTCTATTGCTATATATTGTTTTGTATATTTTGAGATTAGATTAGATCGAATCTCTAATTGGTATTTTTTAAGACAAAGGTTACATTATTATTGATCGATGCATATAGTACATAATTTACACATCAAGTATAATTTAACGTTTATTGATCGGAGTTATTACGTTATAATTCCACAAAAATAAAAGCACTAGAACATTCTATAAATGATATTTAATTTAAATTAAAAATAATGTATACAAAAATTTGTATTATAAGATAATTAATTTAATTAATCTTTATTAATTAAGATGGATTAGATATTATTATTGTAACAGAAATCTATAAAAATCTCAAAAAATAGTATGTATTTAGAAAATTGACAATTATAGATTTATAAACTTTATTAATATGCATAATTATAAATGCTGGATTAACAATTATTTCGTGGTTACAATATTAATTCAGTGTAAATGTTATTATCTCCTATTATTGGAGTACACATATTATCTGTGACCAATACATCATTATGTTTATATCTTAGTTCCACTTTGATCTCACAGCTAGAGATTATTTATAAGTATAATTATATCATTCGAGATGCGATTTATAAAGCAGATTGTAAATATAAGAAGTTGCTCGTGCAGTTGTTTGTGCAAAAAGCTATAAGATATATATGTAGGTATATTACGCCCCGACATTTTTTACATATTTTACATATGCTTCTACTAGTATTCAGCATCTCGTTTTTTATAGCTCTAGTCTCTACAAAATATTCGCTAATTTGATGCTCCGAAAAGAAATCTTGTCATTCCTCAGCTGGGTCTTATCGAAAAATATCGCATACGAAACATTATACTAGGGAAATCTATAATAATGTGACGTATACTATATATAGTATTTTCATATGCTATATTTTTCGAGAATAGAACATGGTTTTTGGTTCCTTTGATTCTTAGGGCCACTTCGACCAATCCCGATAAACTTTAACAACGGTTAGTCCACTGGAATTGGCCAATCTGTCGTTTCTTGTCGAAATATCGATCAAAGTTATTATGCTTATTTGTTTTTGTGCAAAACAATCTGAGTCACTGGCTGCGTTCAGCAGACTCAACAGTTTTGCAACCGTTTTATGATTGTCTGCTGAGATAGGACCATTCTTCTAGATCTAAAAGTATGATCCAATTAGCGCGAAGGAAATTTCCAACAGTTGCAAAACAAACGTTCTGCTGAACGCAGCCATTGGTCGCGTTCAGCAGACTCAACTGCTGTGGAGCGGATCCGTGAGCGCTCACTGCTATTGGTGTATTCTTTTAGATCATCCAATAGCAGCGACAGCTCATTGATCCGCTCCGCAACAGTTGAGTCTGCTGATCGCGACCATTGTGCCGCCGAAGTCTACGCAATTGTGAACGATCTCGCGCGCCTGCACGAATGGACAACCCGTCATACTGACCTGTATGTTGGTGCAACACCCTGTACACAACTATGTCGTCCAGGTAGACTTCACGTTTGCGACGCTGCGATGCGATCAATGTAGAACCAGCTTTAGAAAATAATAGTCGCGTTCAGCTGGTTCTACATTAGTCGCATCGTAGCGTCACAAGCGTGTCGCAAGTGTTGCGGTTCAATCAGAGTCGAGCTAGCTTGTCGTTGATTGGACCGCAACGCTTGCGACACGCTTGCGACGCTGCGATGCGACTAATGGCTACGTTTACACCATGCATTTAGACCGCGGCGAATACAATAGATGTCCTTGTTTAGCCTGTAGATTAGACACCTATCGTATAGGTCGCGGACTAAAGCTGCGGTCCGTTTGACGCTATAAACGCTTCGAAGCGTTTGAGCGACCAATCAGAACGAAGAATTTTACGAATTGACTAATCAAAGAATGCTTCGAAGCGTTTGTAGTGTCAAATGGACCGCAGCCTAAGCGTACAGTGTAAACGTAGCCAATGGCTGCGTTCAGCAGAACGTTTGTTTTGCAACTGTTGGAAGTTTCCTTCGCGCTGATTGGATCATACTTTTAAATCTAGAAGAATGGTCCTATCTCAGCAGACAATCATAAAACGGTTGCAAAACTGTTGAGTCTGCTGAACGCAGCCAATGTAGAACCAGCTTTAAGTAGCTCAACTGTTGCGGAGCGTAAAGGAACCTACAGCCAGAGCGGCGTAGCGGTGAGCGGCGAGCGGTAGCCCAATGAGAGCCACGCTTTTGCGTGACATCATTAGTGAAGCATGGCTCTCATTGGGCTACCGCTCACCGCTACGCCGCTCTGGTCTGTAGGCTCCTTATCCGTGAATGCTCGCTGATATTGGATGATCTAGAAGAATACACCAATAGCAGCGAGCACTCATGGATCCGCCCGGAACAATTGAGTCTGCTGAACGCGATCATTGCATACAAAAATATGTCACGTATATTATAATTTCATATATTTTTGTATGCGACATTTTTCAAGAATACAGCTCCTAGTGGTGTCGTTGCCCGCATTCTAAAGTATTTCACGCGCGTCCAATTGCAAGTAAAATCGCGCAATTTGAAAACGAAACGTAGCGTGATTTGCCGTTTTACACTTTCATGGAAATAGGACTGCAAGAATTTGAATTGGCTGTGTGAAGTGTGAACAAGGACGTGAAACGTGAGAAGATCAACTCGTTGAAGGATAAACCGGATTTACCGGCGTTCTGGAACGAAATTTCTTGTGGGAGATATCACGAAATATTCAACATGGCTTGGGTGCCCTTGGAGTCGAATCCAGAGGTAAGTGAGCCTTCTGTCGAATTGCGATTCGTTGTTATTCGTATAGCAATTAAATAAGCGTATTTTCTGTTTTAGGTTATGACGAAGGTAAGCAATTGCAACGTTCAGTCAGTTAATTTCCTTGATTGTGACCTGAACACGATACTTCGTCGATCAATAGTACACTTTTGGTGAAAAAACAGGGGAAACAGTCTTTCAGATTTCTCCGGCATAATCTTTAAAGCTTATTCTACAATGTGCTCTTTGTTTCCTGTTTCTTTCTTTTTACCTTTTGCTTTTTTCCTCTTTTTATGATCGTTTTATTAATAATTATATTTCTTGTTACGTATTTTCTGTTTCTTTGTTAATGTTTATCTCGAACAACAGAAAACAAAAAACAGCAAAAAACAAGAAACAGGAAACAAAAAGCACATTGTAGAATATCTTTAATGTACAAAAATTCAATGTATGATTTTTGTTTTTATAGTTCCTCCACAAGTTGGGTGTTCCAAAAAAGTGGTCAATCTTAGATGTATACGGCTTAGAGTCGGAATTGTTGGCGATCATCCCTAGGCCTGTCCTTGCCGTCATTTTGCTTTATCCTATTTCTTCAAAGGTATATACATGGCGTATAACAATACGCTGGAACCTCATAAGGGTGCGTCCAGACTATCGAGCCGCGAGCTAAGCCGCTAGCTGAGCCTACGTCCACATTCAAAGCTTTGATGTGAACCTATATTCATTTCGATAATATGGATGTAGGCTCGGCTCGCGGCTCGGCTCACAGCTCGATAGTCTGGACGCACCTTAATAACATGCACTTTGAACATAATAACGAAGTTATTCTCACTTTTAAACAATGAGATTCAAGGCAAGTTTAATATTATCAGTCTGTTTTTGATGACTGATCTGATATATACTTTTGGAACTTAAAGTGAGATAGATATATGTTTGATATTTGGAAAAAGCAAAAAAGAAAGTTACATGCTTGTATTCACAGTCAGGCCTTATATTTAAGGCTTCTTTAAATTTATCTTCAGATGCTCTACGAATTATTTTATTGGCTACAGAGATTTAAAGATGGAGGAAGCCTTAAATTTAAGCTGATTATGAATACAAACACTAGTGCAATCTAGTGAAAAAATAAAAAACAGATCTTATATAAAACTGTATTCAGGATTCTATTTGGAGCTGTGTAGGCTGCAATTCTATCACTATTTCCCTTTTTCCACTTATAACATGTGTTTAGTGCATATGAAAGGGTTTTATTTTACTGTATACTTCATAATTTGTTAAAAGTTCAGTACCTTATCACATTTGATTTGCATGGTACTTTGACTTTGAGTAGAAAACCATTAGGCAAAAAAAAGAGGATTTTGTGTGTTAATTCGAGGTTTGCTATTTATGAGGCTCCAATGTATAATGAAACATTTTGAGATTTGACTGATGCATTTTTACATGCAAGGTTTGTTCTATTATCTCCTTAGATTGAAAAGACTAAAGAAGAGCAAGCAGAAGCTAAGGATAGCAAGAATGATGCTGCAGAATCTGTTTACCATATAAAGCAATCTATTTCTAATGCATGTGGAACAATTGCATTACTTCACAGCGTGGCGAATAATTTGGATGTGTGAGCATCTATGATCATACATAATCCAATCTATTACATTGATAAACAGTAAAAATAATATCCTTTGTTTCGTTACAGAATACAGTTGGAAGATGGCTTTTTCAAAAAATTCTTAGAGGAAACCAAAGGACTTTCGTACATTGAACGTGGCGAACGTTTAGAAAAATCGCAAGACATCATTGATACTCATATGGAATCTGCCCAGGAAGGACAGACCGAGGTATTTTCTATTTCATAGCTGAAAACGGCGCGATTATCTTTTAAATCATAAATTGCAGGTATATTTCTTATTTTAGGCACCAGCTGAAGATGTGGAGGTGTACCATCACTTTGTCGCGTTTGTCCATAAGGACGGTTCCTTGTACGAGCTGGGTATGTATTCGATCTACATCGACTTTAAAACACGGTTAAATTAATAGCGAATTTAGTCACTTGCATTATTAGATTAGTGCATATCTATTAAAGCTGCTATACATGAAATTAACATTAAATAACATTAAATAAAAATGTAAAAATATATAAGTATTTTCAAGATTAAATTTTGTTTTATTTAAATGATATTGTTACATTATTTAACAGAATATACATATATTATTTTATTATTCATGTATTGTTTCATTATTTCAAAGTTAATTATATTATGCCACTGCATTTAGATACTTTATATAAAACAGCATACTTTTAATGCATACTAATTTAATGTACGAATGATCGAGTTTATAACATATACTAAAAATCATTTGTTTTCCCAGACGGTCGAAAATCTGCCCCTATCAGTCACGGTTCAACTACACCGGAAACACTCCTCGACGATGCCGCTCGCGTGTGCAAGGAATACATGGAACATGATCCTAATGAAGTGCGTTTTACAGTGGTCGCACTCGCTGCCAACGAGTGAATGGTGCCTCATCCTCAAGTGCATTCGCCTTTAAGCTAATTTAAACCCAAATAATTTATCTTATATGTTACATAATGTTACATATATTATATTTTACTTCAGCAACGCATTTATTTTGTCAATTTTCTTAATTGCCAGCTTTTTTAACTGTGTAACTATGTATGTTAATGAAAAAATTTATATACGCAGTTGTATATAGCACTGTTTCCTTTTTATTGCAATAAACTTTCTACAGCACACTGGCTTTCTATGTTACATGCATACAGTTACATGCATTGAGTTTGTGTCAGGTTTAATATTGAAAGTGATGTTGAATGTAGATATTTTTGACTGTCAAAAAGACGATAAAAAGATGTGATGCGAGATGCTACAGAAGAAGCATTTAAAACAAATTCCAGATACTGCGCGTCGGTCAAGGTCTCTAAGCTTTACGCAACAAGGCGGACGATTGCCAGAGCAAGTTTTGGTTTGCAAGTCGGAGTTGATGATAAATTAGGACCGATACATTCTCACGTTTGGCACAGACTTAACGCATTGATTTGGTGACGTTCGCTTTTAATCATCAACGTTATATATCTCGCGCCCGTTTTCATTTTCATTAAAAGTGTCGACTATTGATATTTTTTATGATTCTTAATGCTCTTGTAATTATGCATTACATCGGAATGAGATAAATATTAATGTTACTATAAGAGATAATAGCGAAGCTTTTTGGAAATTGATCAATTGTCGCAGAAATGATATGGGACATTTTTTTAAAATTGAATTACATTACATAGCTTTGTATCTTAATTTTATTCGAAAATTCATGATTCGGAAAATTCATGTACTAATTATAAAAATAATCATCTTTACAGATTATTTGATTAAAATATTTTATAAATAAAAAATTTGTCTATTAAAACAGGTAGTCTAGCGATTGAGGAAAACATTTTAATAAATAAATGAGAACTCGGTATATTTTATTTAAATTTTATATTTTGTTAGAATATAAACTGATTTTTAAAAGATTTTTTTTTATTTCTAAGAACATTTATGAGCACTTATCATACGTAGAGGCTTTGTTTTATTTGATATTTAATTCGTACATTATCAGAAATTGTGAAATGGATCGGTCACTGACCAGCCTCCAAAAGCGTCTGCTATTTTGGATACCTCTTCCACGTATCTTGGCACTGATTCTCTAAATAGTGTGTGCAAAATATAAAATAAATTTATCTTCCCCCCAGTAATGCGATCTGCCTATATTATATAACACTGCTTCGTTTCAAATCGCGATTTAGGAACTTCCTATGAACTGCAATTTTAATTGTAAAACATAAAAGCTTAAGACAATGGCAGGATGTCGTTAGTATGGATTTTGAATCATTTGTTTACTTTATGCATTATTTTATAGTATTTACAAACTGTGCGGAATTTAATCGAAAAATAGACATAGAAAACTATTTTTTTCTTTCAAATAAGCGCGTGGAATTTTTTCATAGGCAAAGCCAATGTTATCTCGAGATTAATGACTTAAAACGCACGGTGATTTTTTTGAAGTTTGTTTGTAGTAAGTATATTCTTATAGTTATCAAAGACTTCTCGATGTGCTGCGTCATCTTAATGGAAAATTTTACACTCTCTTGTAGTTTGCCGCGAGGACTGGACCGGTTAGTATCAATTATCTTGGACCGGTCACATTCTAATTAATATGTGATAAATAGCTGAATCATAAATAAATAGACGAATTATACATAACTTTTACGCTGTTACCATAGCAGTAATATCGCTATCTCGTACAGATTTCTTAAAGTTCGAGAAAGATATGATCAATAAACGTAATTGAATAGCACAAAATTCCATTACGTCACAATCTAATCAGTATATTTGTCTTCAAAATTATCATATTCGACATAATCACGCTAATTTGTTTAGCGATCTTTATTTCTTATCATTAGATTTCAATAACGCGATTAAGCGATAAGATGAATTCGTTGAAATTATTAAATGTATTTGATAAAAACAATTTTAAGAATTTTTTCGAATATTTTTGAAAAATAAAAAATATGAGTACTTTTTAGAGCTAAACCCAGGGAGAAATGACCATCAATTCAATACTTGCTGAATTATTTTTTGTTGAGAAGGTGTTGGTTAAAGGTTTACTCGTTCTATCATGTTATTTATCGAACAGCTCGCGTATCAGCCCTTCAAGGTGAGATCCATGATTGCGAAACGATATTTTGTACTCTTCTCAATAGAGAAACTGTTAGCTGCTGATAAACGGGGAGCCTAAAGCAAATTTACTAATCGCAAGACGGGTATTATTTGAATTGATGAAATCGCAATGATGGCAATAACGCGAAGCTTTGCGATTAACCGATAATATATCTGTGTTTCGCCAGAGATTCGTAGATTTCGCAATGCAGAAGAAATAGCACTTACGCAATTACATATAAGAGAATAAGTCGCCAAAAAGAGATCCATCTGTTCTTGATTAATTCTAATTGTAAGTGTTGTACGATCCTTACGTATATTTTTGCGAAGGAAGCACAATGCTGAATTAATTAATTTAAACGTTTTTTTCGGTTTCTAGACTACCCGAATATTTATAAATTTTCTGATAAAAAACATTAATTAATGAAATATAAAAATGTTATGGAAATATAATGTGTGTTATACAAATTTAAATTTTTTAAGTTTTTAATCAAACTACGTATAAAAGAGGAATTACCATCTCTTTAATTATATTCCGAAACATGTATTTTTATGCGAAATTAAGAAACAAGGCAATTCGATTTCAGCAAAATGATCATTCAATCAAATGATCATTTTGATGAAATTGAAAATGGAAAAAAGTGTGATTTAATTTCTATTCTATTCAACCGTTGTATGGTTTTCGAAAATAACAAGATATTTTAAAAAATAGGAATAAAAAAATTCTTTTCCGGTCATTCAAGTATACATTTGCACATAGGTGCGTGCGTATTCATCATTGCACAATGGTTTAAGGTCAACCTACCTCTATAAAATCGCACGTATGGCCTCGTTTCTGTTTCTAAACAACGTACTACACGAGTCGTTCGTTTTCGTTGGAGTCGAGACGTTTACCGAAGTAACAGATTTGACGCGTGTAAATTTTTCGATATGTCATCCATCGTATACACTTCTTATCTTGTTCCTTTACCACGACTCTTATATCGCTTTCCTGATCGCACGGTTTTAGTTGCGGTTTGTGCATATGCATGCGCGCGAAGGCCTTGGGTGTCTCAAATGCACTTTTACTTTCAAATAAGGAAACAAGAGGAAACCTTCGTGCCGAAGTCGAGGACGTGTGTCAATAGCGAGGTCGGATTTCTATCAAAACTTGTTAGTTATGTTGTTTTAAACTCTCGCGACGTATGTCTTTCGTTATTAAGGAAGTGGAGTTGAGATTTAGATTATTAAATATGCCACGTCATCCGCTGGGTTTAATATTCCCTCCCTGTCGCGATTACGTGCGAATTTTCGGGTCAGAAAACATTCCTTTCCTTTTCTAGATTTATTGGCTTATTATAGTGTCTGCGAAGTTCGACCTTTGGTGCGAAAGCGAGTGCATTGACCGGTATAATATATCAATCTTTGCACGTTGCTGCCGCGTGCTATTGAAGTCATTTATGCTAACAAAATGAATGACAATATCTACGCAAGTTATTTCGGCTTGTTAATCTTTAATTGCAATCACGAGAAAGTGTAAGACGATCACAATCACTTGCAGCGCGACTCTCGTATGTGCTTTGACGACAGTTAATTCTGTCAATTATGATCTTTCTTTGGCCTCGCCAAGGTCATTTTTAACTTGCGACTTATTAAATTTCTTTTCTTAGCGTCCTCCATTCGAGATTACTCCAAATAATCTACTAACATTTAATTTTCTAAATACGCTAGATAATCAAATCACCTATTATTCTATTTAAATGACTATTCGCCATTAAATTTTATCGCTGTGTTACGACATAAGCTTTACTTATGACTTTGCCTTTTTCTTTCGCGGAAAAAAAAATTTTGTTATTTCAATAATGGCCTCGTTAAAATCCACAATCGGTAGATGAGATCCGGTACATTCCTAAGTGAAGTTATGGCCTTCCTCCGGATTGAGGTATTAGATTTTCGGTCCGTGCACTCGATGATGAAACCGACACGGTCTCTGCCTCGGACTGCAACAAGTCCGATGCCAAGAATAAAGGGACACGGCATTTCGGCACCAGCAGCAGCAAACGAATAGTTAGAAGGACGTAGACAGCCTTCGAGTGGTTGTTGCGCCGAGTATTCCTCGACGGTTTCAAACCGACATCGTTTCAGTCGCGTGTAAGCAGCCGATCGTTGAACGTGCGTCGATTGACGGCACCATCCATGGGTTATCAGCATTTGTGTCCTTTTATTATTTGGATATAATCAAACCGAACAGCCGAATCGAAAGAAAGGTACGTACTTATGCTATTAGATTTTGACATACAATGTTTAATTCTTGACAACTCGATTCGTCGCTCCGTTGTTGACTTTCTCTAATCTCTGACACAGACTTTATTTACCGTCGTGCGCGATTTTGAATAGCGAATGATCTCTTTTCGCGCGCACACTTTCTCTTGAAACCGACGAGAATAATTTATTTTCGAGTTTTAAATAATGCAAATGGATCAACATAAAATTTTAACATGTATATTAATGATTGCGTACGAATAAAACAAAATTCTTGATTAAAGAAATAAGCTAATATGAAGATGCGTTTAAATTATCCTATTGTTGTTCATGACAATTAGACTAATATTACTCATTTGCTATTATGATTAAAAAAACAAAATTTTTCAATAATTTAAAAAATATTTTATCAAAATAATGGCAAAGAAACAACACGTATAAAAGATCCGACGCGTGCAAAAGATTTGACAGATGTAAAAAGTACGACACGCGTGATGTCGTAAAATTTTAAGTTTATTAGTTAGCGCGATTGTAAAAGTACACCAAATAATAATGTGTTGCAAAAAAATTGCTGCATTGGCATTGGGAACGATATCATAATTATTAATAATTTTTCTAACAATAGTCCTTATGGAAATAAAAGCAATTAATTGTTCTAAAATAGAAAGCTCAGAACTTTTAAAAGTATACG